TCTCTCATCGTCCCACCCTCTGCCTCTTTTTTTCCACTTAGACCTCTCAATTCATGTCTCTTTCTCATTCCTGGTCAAACTCCTTATTGATTCCAGTGTCTATTTCTCTGTCCTCCCTCCCTTTCTAACTATGTGTTGTTCGAATGGAACCTCACGGCTCCAATTTTCCCGACGAGTTGCAGGTTTCCCGATGTGTTTTCCGGTCAACCCTCGTTAAATTGGATGAAGTTAGCACCGCCAAAAAATTCATCACCATCCCTAGACCGAGATCTTAGCTTTGAATGCTCGAATCTGTCATGGATTTGAAGAAGCCCAAACAGGCCGAGACTTCCAAGCCATTTTCCGGCCATATTCGACCACATTTTGGCCTCTATTCAGGTAAAATCGTAATCTTGTCACTCCCAGCGTCAATTTGGTATATTTTATATGAAAGTTGGTTGTGAAATGGATCTGAAAGGGAGTCGAAAAGTTAATGATTGATCTAGGTGACCGGAGATGACGAGGAGTCTGTCGGGAGTGGTTGTTGAGCATGACGAGGACGAGAAAGAGAGGATAGTCTTAGCTAGTCCCATGGTTATTGGGGGGTCTCGCTAAGACCTCTTAGTGAAGGGTTTTGTCCATGCTAGTCTCCTTTAGTCTCATTAAAGTTAGTCCCAGCATGGAACAAACACAGTATTGGACTAATAGCTAGTCCAGTCCAGTCCAGTCCAGTCCAACTTAGTGAGGGCAAACAAACGCCCCCTGAGGGTCTAGTGTTTAGCATTTCTTTAGGTTTACATAAATTCTTGAAAATTGTGCTAAGTTTCCATTGTTTTCTTTTTCAACGCATGCAATTTAACTCCTCGACACATATCTCTGTTGTTTTTATTGACTTTATCTTTCTTAGAAAAGCTTGCCATCAAAGTTCCCAGGGTATTAATTGTTGTGTTATACGTTTTGCATTACTCTTGCTTTTCCAAACTAGGTACCCTGACCTAGATTAATTGGATCTGTGATCCCTGACCTTATAAACAGCTCCTTCATAGGGCTCCACGTTTGTCAAAAATGTTGGCCTACAACTATAAATCCCCTCCCCTTCTTGGTGACAAAATTGACTCATCATTACACAGATAAGGCGAAAACGTAGTCAAGCTTTCGGTCTCGAATCTCGACCATGAATCGGAGATCGATCACATCTCAGGATCGTGTTGGATGAAAAATGATTTGTGATCATTTTAGAAGGTGACTTTGATGTTTGTTTTAGACTTTTCCTTCACTAGTAGCCAAAGCCCTGAACCTACTCTCACTAATATAGTACAAAAGTAACCAAATTAGGATCAATTTTTTAAAGATTGGCAAACAAAGGTTGATTTGAATTTTGAACACAGTTTTGTCACTCTAGCTAATTACTCCAGATTAAGTTGAGATTAGTAAACAATAATACATGATAATGATAGAGTAAGCATTGTGAAAAATCAAATCTCCTCTAGATGGCTAAGAGTTGGGGTTTAAAGAAAGACATAGTCAAAGACCGTATGTGCAAATTATATTATAACCAAAATTTGGATATTATTGCAGCCTTCATATTGATTTTTAATTTGTTATGAACAAGTTGGTTCTAATAGGAGTTGTGGGACCATGATTTTCTAGGACCGGAGTAAGACAAATTGAAGCGCACTTTACCTCAAAAGTCTAGTCATAGACTCAACAACCTCCATAACTGAACTGACTAAACGGATCAATGATGCCAGAATCAATGGGCGAAGTCCGTCAACTTCGCTGAGATAGACAATTCTTTTTCTGCAAGATTCAAGAACCTAATCCTGCAAGAAATCATTAGGTTCCTACAAGAAATCAAATAATTATAGGCTGAAATATTTGCCTCTAAAAACCACCAATAGGGGCAAATACATAGAAAAATCGTCCCTAATAACAAGGAGTGGCAGATTCGCCCCTAAAAAGGCCGTTGCTATTGTTATTAGATGCAAAAAATGTCAGATATCCACCCTTATTGTTTTTGTTGCCACGTTGGCAAGTTTTGTGAATACACATAATTACAGGCAAAAACATCCGCCCCTAATACTTTTGAATTAAATAAAAAAATAAATCGAGCAAATAAATACATCCGCTTCTAATACTTTCATTTCTATAAAAAATCCACATTATAATAAATGCATTAATCCCCCCAAACATCAATTATTGGTTTTGAATCATTCAAAATATTCAAACCCAACATGGTTCATCTTTATCTTTCCAGATCTCATAACAATTGGTTTTTTTTTTTTTAAATTTACGAGAAAAAAACATTTTCTTCCTTCAATCTTCTCCTTTCTTTTAGTCTTAAGCTTTGTAGACTAGATCTTTGAGTCCATCTTCTTATGTTGGAGGCTTGGAGCCGCACATGAGTCTATATAAAAACAAAAAAAGAAAACGTAATGAACAAAGCCAAATTACAAAGTACATTAATTTGTATGAACACATAGGAAAAATCAAACCTGAATTTCAATCAATTAAACATATAAGAAAACCGATAAACAAAGATTAACACAAGGCAATTACCTCTAAAATTGAAAGTTCTTGAGAATCTCTTTCTCACTATCAATCAAATGATATTTCTATTCCAATATATTCATAAATTTCTCTTCCACTCTAAGTTATTCAAAATCCCGTGAAGTGTACCTGCAAAACAATTCAAGATAGAAAAAGAACTTCGATCAAACCAAATAAAATGAGTTTTACCTTCTCTGTGACAAACCTTTCTTTCGGTCCTCCCGGAGTAGCAAGGGAGTATTAGACAACAAAAGATTACTAAGAATGAAAGAAAGAGAGGATGGATTGGGATCTGCACAAGAGAAAGAGAAGGGAACAATAATGAAGGAAAAATGGAAAACTGATGTTTTGTGCGGCATTTGAAGAAGGGAAAAGAGAAAAATGAGGGGAAGTGGGTTTGAATTGGAATTAGGGTTTAGCTAATTGATGTTTTTTCCTAGTAAATTATAATATCCTTTATTTTTATTTTTTGTAAACATTAATTTGAAATTAAACATATTCGCCTTAAATAGAAAAAAAAAAGAAAAGAAAAGTTTAAATAAATAAGTATAAACATCCGCCCCTAATGAAAGAAATAATTAAATTTAAATAATTATTAGTTGAATTATGGGCTAATTTGTTCGCCTCTAATAGCTAAATAAAGTAAAGGTAGTTTTTTCTGTCCCTAAAAGTTATAAAATTAATAGAGGCGAATTATTGTTTGACCCTGTTAAATTAACAAAGACAATTGCATGTTTTCATCCCTAATGAAAACTATTAGAGGCAAATTTTTATTTTCATATCTAATATAATGCCCCTAATACTTACTTTTCCTGTAGTATAGTCTTGGAGTCTTATAGTATAAGGATTAGTGTGCATCGGAAAAATATCTACTTCCTAGATATCCTCATGGATTCTTCTGATTTAGTACATATTCTACTATCCTAAAAGGTCATCTCCTAGACTGCAGGTATAAATACACCCTTATAGAGTTCATATTTGGTATCGTAATCTCTGCTCACTTATTTTCTTGCCCACTACTTGAGTCTTAATATTTACTAACTTGACCATCGGAGAATCTTTAACCGGTATACCCTCCGGGGGTCCTAGGCTTATTCATGATTGTGTGTTCTTTTACAGGTAAACAAATTCAATCATCTCTGTCATTCATTGTGGTGTGCGAATTTGATTCTAACAAGGGCTTTTTATTTGGACCCGTCAACACTCCATATTTTAGAGAAACCCCAAACTAATTATTTCGGTAATTAATCTATCGAATTTATTATGTTGGGGTTGAATTTTTTTTACTGACAACTTTGTCCTTTTAGAGAAATAAGGAAAACCATTATAAAAATCTTGATTAAACGCATTATTGATCAAATTTTACATTTCAAAATTTGAAAGCTTGCAATTGCTGCCACAAAAACTTGTACCTTAGGAAACTTGTTGGTCTGTTGTTGAGGTAGAATAAAACGTCTCTTAAACCAAACAAAACAAAAATCCGGACAATCATCAACACATTAACAGTTAGGGCTAGTCAATTGAAACCTTATCAATAGGTAAGCAACCCTATGTACATAACATCCACGATAGGTATCAAAACTTATATACCGCATTATCTATAGATTTGATATCAAACCCATCCACATTACCTACACATTCGGTACCAAACTCATCCACATTGTCTACTCATTCGGTTTCAAACTCTTCCACATTACTTGCGTACCAAACCCATTCACATTATATAAGACTGAAATATAATAATTTTAAAGCTAAAAATCATTGTGTCCCACATAAATAATATTAAATTAAAAAAATTATGGTTGACAAAATAAAACAAAATTATAGAGGGTAAAATAGGCTTGAAAAAAAATGACAAATGAGAACTCTAGCACTTAATTGATAGTCAAAGGATGTGTAGGTTTGTTCCTATAATATTCTGATATCAACTTTCTATGATTATAATAACTGTACAAGACTAATATCATTATTCAAAATTAAGTAGTGCTATACTTGTCAAAATAATACTAATATTATTGACATCTAATCATTGATATAGAATTATTTCATTTATTTGTATTTGGTTCTACATTGAACATGTTTTGTTCTAAATAACGATTAAATTTATGGTCATGTAATTTGCTACATCATTTGGTAGCTAAAGTCTGAATGAATTTTGATGGGTTTAGTTACTAGTGAGAAAAAAGGTTTTTGAAATATTCAGGAGGAATTTTCCAGGTCACCTAAAATTTGGATATTAGGTTTGGTTCCGATTGAGTGATTTATACACCCTCTACTAATGATGAAATAATGCTAAAAGAAAAAAAGTAATATGAAAGAAGAAGAAATGATGATAAAGCATTCAATAAGCTTATCCAATCCAAACTTAGGGTGTGACTACAATACTACGGGACTATAAATATACCAAGACAATATTGATGATTATGATTGTGATAAGGTATAATATAAGTTGTATTGAACAGAAACAAAAATTAAATATAAAAAGGAAAACGAATTGGGCCTGATGTTGTTTCACTTAACATATTGACACAATGTCATCCTGTCCATTATTTCATATACAGCCAACTTAACAATTTGGATTATTGAAGTTACAAACCTCGCTGTAAGAGTTGAATCTCACCTATTTTCAACTTCTTTTTTTCCCTTCTTTCCCTCTCTCTTTTCTTTTTTTTTTCTTCCCATTTTTTGTCCCAAAAAAGAAACAGATGAACTGAAGCTGAATTTGGTCCACATTTAGTTTAACCTGCTTCCTTTTATAACCCCCTTTTTTTTTCCTCAATTTAAAATACCGCAATCACGACGAATATTGCCATTATGGCCGGTCTTGATTCCGACCCGACCCAGCTTGGTCATGGCGTTAATAAAGGCCTGGTTAAAAGCCGTCTTATCTTTGGCCCATGTTCTTACCGTGGGCTGGGACCTGCTGTCCGTAAAAAGGACCTGGTCCGAGGTAAATAACCCCTTCCCTTCTATAAGATTCTCAAAGTATGCATTGTCAAACTCCCTGGGCGTGGTTGGGTCCATGTTGATGGCTATGTCGGGGTCCACATTTTTGGGACACATTTGTTGGAGCTGCGTTGCATACGTTTTGTTCAGCGTGGGGTCCACTGGATTACTGTAAATCCGATTTGAGAACTGGTTGCAATGAGAGAACCCTAGGGTGTGTGCTCCTGCAGATTAAACAGAGTTATTAGTGTAGTGCCTTTAATTAGTGCATGTCAAGGAATCATAATGCTGCATATTATAGCATATCAATGTGTAAATCATGCAATAATTAAAATTTGTAACTCGTGGAATATTCTCGTATTGATGTATAATGTAAATACAGCTATACACTTTACTTATGCAAGAATTTACATAATCGATTGTTTTCAACAATGTTTGATGGAGAATTAATTGATGAAGTACTCGTTCAAGAATCACAAAATATGATTCTCTAATATCAATGAGAAATGCTAAGGAGACTCTCAAAGTGTGGCTCTTTATGAATTTTCTGTCACATCACAGTTTAACATTAATTTTTTGTTAACATTATAAAACATTTTGCTATAAACATGATATAGAGTCCATGGAGAATCTCGCTTTTGAGAGAGTCTTCTTAGCATTTCTCAATATCATTTTAATACGCACTAACTATTTCAATTATCTATCTTTTGGGGTTGAAAACAATGTTTCTTGAAAGAATTTTTTTTTAAAGCACTTTTAATTATCTAAAAACTCGCAATCAAGCCTTAAATATTGCAAATATTGTGTATGTTTAGAAAAGGCTAATTGAGGACGGTAGTTTAAAAGCATGCGGGTGACTGTTAGCTATCGAAGTAAGTAGATGACTATCGCTAGCATAGGTCTTGGGTTTTAATGTATGATGTGTCCCATTGACGAGAAAATAGCACATAGTCTTACCTGAAAGAGCAACCATGTCAGCCTGGGACAACCCATTGGAAGCAAACATGGAAGTGAGCTGGTTCAAATTGAATGTTGGCTTGGGCAGCTTCCCATCTACACTTGTAGAAGTTGAGGTTAGTCCATCCAATCTTCCCAACTCAACCGAATATGAAGGTCCACCAACCTGCACTTAATTAACACAATTAATTGTAATTAACCTTACCCTAAAAAGATTGTAATAACTTCAAATGCGTCAACTCAATTATCACAACTACTCACAAATGCATGGCACAACAGTAATAGAGTAATGCTCTTTATATTGTCAGACTTTGAATATGAACTATACGTTTCCGATATTAGAAAGCAGAAAATCTAATTCAAACAAAGTCCTAGTGATGAACGGATTACCAAACCAATAACATCTCTGGTGGCCAAGGCAAGAATATCAGCGCATGAAACTTTGTTTTTGCATTGAGGAACTGCATCAACGGCTGCTTTGGCTTTGATCACCGTATCAAACCCATCTCCGGCTAATGATAGATTATCAGAATGGTCCTTTTCTGCCTTGTTGTTTGCAGTGGAAGCAACTATAACGGAAGCATCACATCCCTACCATTTATTTCACAACACAACAAAAGAAAACTCAGATTTTGATCGAAATTTCGAAACCCATGTTGAAAACTTGTTAATCTCTCGACTTTAGGGTTTAGATAGCGTTTAAGTGATTGCCTGGACAAAGCAATCGTGGAAAAAGAGACGGAGTGTTGCCGGAACAGTGACGAATGTTTGCTGGAATTTATTAGTGACAGCATTTTTTACAATTTTTTCTACGTCGGGGCAGATGTTGGCATAGTAATTTGTTTTGAGCTGCGCCGATGTGGGACAAAGAAGTAGACACAAACTGAGGTGAAGTGACCAAACTAGTAAAAGATTGAAGCGACCCATGCGACCAAACATTTGATTTTTTCAGAACACAGATAGGAATAGAGAGAAGAAGAAGACTGAGATTTTGATTGCCAAGGGTGGAGGAATATATAAAAAGAAGAGGGCGCATGAGTCATGACATATGCGCCAGTTGGATTAAAGAAAGCATTCATTTGAATGGGACTAGGATTCTCTCCTAATTTAAGGATGAGGATTCTTATGATCAAGATATATGGATCGTTGGATAAAAATTTAACGATTATAATTATTATAATTTTAAAGGGACTTTTTATTTGTAACTGTTGGATAAAAATTCAACAGTCTACATCGCTTAATCATGAAAATCCTCATCTTTAGATTAGGAGAGGATCCTATCCATTTGAATGTAGACTATGTCTAGTGTGTTCGAAAGAGACATTGATTTGACTATGTCAAAATTTTCAATTGCCGCCCTAATTTGTCTAGGTCTTACTGCTCTGCAACTTTACCGAAGTTTGGGTTTGTTTTAAAATAATAAGATATATTGATTTTTGTCTAAACACGTAGTAACCGTAATATAAAAATGATTATAGAAAATATGAACACGTGGTCCAAATAAGGACAAAAAGTATTGACAAAAAAAAAAAAAAAAGAATAAAAACCAATAGGATCCTTTCCGGATTTTGTGAGGATTTTGGTATTCGTAAATTATGTCTATTTATCGTATATTATGCGATTAGGTTTTTTAGGTACTGTTTGTATTTAATTTAAAATAAAAATATTTAAAATAATTTTTGATCGTATGATATACAATGAACGGATATGATTCATGGATTCTTGAAATCCTCATGAAGAGGATCCAGCGATGATCTAGATTCAGATAAAAAGTGGGTTTGGAGTGCTAAATTAGAACAACTAGATCTCAAAACTGCACGTTAAGGTTCCTGTGGGCTAGCTGTGTGGCTTGCTGTATCAGGAGTAGAATCCTCTTCCTTTTTATTTCTATGTCATTTCCTTTCCTCCTCTTACATTTTGTTTTTTTATCGTATTATCTCTATAAAAAATTAATATAAGATATTGACATAACTTAATCGTAACCGTTCAAGTAAGAGAGAGGAAATGAGAGAGAACCTCTATACCACAATATTATATTAGACCAGCCACTTGGCATAGATCCGGTGTTGAAATACATGAGGCATGACAGTAGGGTTTGTAGTTCGTTATGTATAATTAAAGATTTTTTTGTTTGTTTAGATTTATTAAATGCCAGGAGGATCCTTTCTCGATTTTTTTTGTAAGGATTCTGAGAATTCTCAAATCGTGTTCGTTTATCGTATATCGTGCGGTCAGTTTTCGTCAAGTACTATTCATATTTAATTTAAAATAAAAATATTTAAAATGATTTTTGACCACACTATGTATGATGAACGGATATGATTTAAGGATCCTCAGGATTCTCACAAAGAGATCAGGAGAGGATCCTCATTCTATAAAATGAGCTTAATTTGACAGATTAGCAACTAAGTATTGTCTTTATGATTAAGAAGATGGACCATGCTAAAAATTTATACTTGGTTAATTGAGACTATTGAGGAAATGGACCGGGGACTTTAGATAAGTACTAACTAAATTGCTAACTGTCTTGCCAAACTTTTTCTAGGTAACTAATAAAACAAATGAAATTATGCATTATTTATCGACTGTAGACAGTGATAATGTCTATGCCTAGTGGGAAGGGTTTTATTGACTTTGTCATTAGTTTATACGTGAGGTGTTAAGAATGAATCTTATGTTGATAGGAAAAGGGATATGTGTATTCTTATAAGTAATTGAGTTATTTCCTATATTGCTAATTGATTTTATGGTAGAATCTTAACTTTCTTTATAGTTGATTATAATAATAAAATGTAAATGATATGTATTGGTGAATGGGTGGTGCTATTCACACACCCATTTTTACCTCCTACATAATCTTTGTTAATTTTTGTTATTTGGTCTTCCTCAATTCATTTAATCCGACGATCATAAATTTAGAGGGATGTGTGGATAGCACCATCCTAAGTGAACATATATATACATATATATATATATATAAATATATATATGAGATTGGATCAAGGGACAAACATTTTTACAAATATTTTTACAGTTCTTTGTAGCCTTTAGATTTGATAACATTCAAGGGTTCTAATTTATTCATTAAATGACATAGATACTTATGTGAATTTTAAATAATATTAAAGATAAAGTTAAAAATTAAAAAAAAATCTGAAAAATTAAAAAATGAAGATAAGTTAAAATATTTAATTAGACTTTGAAAACCTATAATATTCAGATCAAGATTTGGATTCACACTCTTGCACGTGGTCGTGAAAACAAGTAAATAAACTTTGAAAACCTTAGCTGTAATCGTGAAAACAAGAGAGGATCGAGAGGTCTACAACCTCCACTTTTGAAGCCTAATAAAAAAACAAAAACCATGAAACCTCTTATTTGCAGATGAGGTCTCCAATGCCTTGGATGAAATCTCTTCTTCATTTTATAAAAAATAAATCCTAACAATAACGAAAGAACATAATTTGTAAATAAAAAAAACATGATTCCAGGTATATAGGACTGATACCCAGCGTAACCCTTGATTGTAGGTGACTACTCTTTTTCTTCCATGGAGCTTCTATCGTATTTATCATCTGGTTTTCGAATTGTTCTGGTAAAAAAAAAACATGTTTTAACTTATCTTCCTTTTCAAAGTCTAATAAAATGTCTTCATTTTCTAATTTTCCAGATTTTTTTTTTCAGTTTTAACTTTATCTTTAATAGTAGTTAAAATGCACATAAACATTCATGTCTTTTAATGAATAAATAAGAACCGTTGGATGTTATCAAATCTAAAGGCTACAAAGAAGTGTAAAAATATTTGTCCCTTGATATCCTATCCCTATATATGTGTGTGTGTATGTGTGTCTATATATATATATATATATATATATATATATATAAGCTAGAATCTCATTCTAACTGAGGATTCTTGTGGTTTCGAAAGATCTAGCTAGCTACAAAGAGCTTTCACCTCTTTTCTATCCCACTCTTTGGTCTTAGAATGCTGGTTCTAAGAACGAGTGATATTGTTCTTCTACTTTATTGTCTAACTTGAAAGTGGACCGCTAATTTGGTCCACTTCATCTTTTCAGAAATTGAATGGATTCAGTCTTCTACAATCGATGTCAAAATTAAAAAGAAAAAAGAAGAGTTCTTTATTTTATCACTTAGGAGTCTCACAAGATGAATCTCATGCATGATTTTGAATGAGAAAGAAGTAAGGAATTCTCTTTTCGATTTTGACTCTCTCACTCTAGTTATTGTTTTTCTTTTTGTTACTTTATAAGTAGCTACTTCAACCTAAAAAGCTTGAATTTTTTATATTCTTTTTATTTCTCATCGAACAAATGACATTTTCTCCTAGAAACCTCAATGCAAGAATCAAAGCTCCCAACCGCTAAAAATATCCCTTAAAATATAAGAAGCATTGATTTGAAATTATTAAACAATTATCTCTTCTATTTAATTATTGAATTTTGCTGTATGGCCTTGGAAATAATTGAACATAGAAGTAAAGGTTTGAGATGGTCCAAGAGAATATTATTATCTTTATCTTTATTCTTTATCTGTATATATAAAGCCAATAGACCCTTTTTGGGGTCACGACTTCACAAAAAAATTTTGAACAAAAATGCCCCCTACACAAAAATGTTTAAAAGCAACCCAAAATAATGCATCAAACAATATTGAATTTTGGGGTCACAGCTTCACCAAAAAGTTTTGGACAAAAATGCCCCCCAAACAAAAAAATTCAAAAGCAACTCAAAATAATGTAGGGATATTTTTGTCATATTAAACAGTGTTTTTTTATAATTAAATTTTTTTGTACAGTCTTTTTTTATTTTTTATTTTATTTTTTATTTTTTATTTTTATAATTAGTATCTCATAATAGGCTAGCAATAATGTGATTCAGTCAGTTGTTTATTAAATATTATTTTATCTATTTTTAAACACATTCATAACATCTTAATAGGCGCATAGTGTTGGTTATTAAAAAAAAAAAAAGAAATAAATAAATAAAAAAAAAGTCTTTCAAACATGCATAACAATGTAATTCAATTAGTTGTCAAATGATTGTATTTTTTTTTTGAACAAATGATATTATCTACACTAAGGGGGCGGGGGTGAGTTTAGCCTCACAATTGGCTAGTAATAATATGATTCAATCAATTATTTATTAAATATTATTTTCTCTATTTTTAATGTAAATTCAATAGAATGTAGATGGAAATCGAAGAACCGATTTTATTATGTGGATCCAACTGCTTTGATTGATTTATGAGGGGTTTCTTCTAACATGGTCTAATATTATTCATTTAGTCCAGATATTTGACTTTCTTTTTGTCACAAAAAAAAATATTGAAGTAATTTACATATATAAATATATTTAAAATGTGTAAATCACGCGTAACACGTCATGATTCAAAAAATACCTTTTACACCCGCTTAAGGCTATTGTAGTTGTTGATCAAGGACTGGATATGATTAGGGATATGGGATATCATTCATGCACGTAACTTATATATGTTATATACTATAGCCATCATATTTCTCATAATGTGTCAATGCCAGCTGTTAGTTTCCTCGTCACGTTCTTGTCTGACCTAGGGCAGATTGTTACTCGGGTTTGAACAGTCTTTGTCTTCTTCCTCTAAATTAAAGGGAAAATTGAAATGATTGGGGCCTGGAAGCATACCAAAACCGGATAATACTTGGATTTCTTTTTGGGATAAGCTCATTTCACCATTTATAAATAATGTATTTTTATTGTATTATTTTTATAATTAGAATTGTTCAATCTTTTAATCTTCATTTAAAGATCATTTCCACAAAAATTATTCGAATTGAAGACCGTTTTAATCATCCAAATGTATTAAACAATTCAACAATGTATATTCTAATTAGTAGCATATTCATAACGAAATGTTAATTCAAACGTATCAAATCTCTCTAAAAGTTTAAAGTAACGGTGTCGTCAAC